TTAAAATCAAAAAAAAACATTGATTTTTAAAAACTTTCTTAAATATTTTCGAAGTGTTCCGGTGGAAAATACAGTTTTTTTCGGAAATTTACAGTTTTTTGAAAACAAATCTAACAACAATGATTATGCGTGAAGAAAAGAGATTGCAGGACGAGAGGCGTCTTGCCAAAATTTTTGTATTGCGCTTTGCATGACCATCTTACGCTTTTGATGATCCGAAATTTGACAAATGTCAAAAAATTAGTGACAGTGTTGCAAAGAAAACTTTAGGTTATGCCGAATTTCCACTTGGCATTAAAATGACAAAAAAAATATGTAATTTAAAAAATGCCATGTGGAAAGAAACTCTTTGACTATTTGTTTAATGTAATGACACGATTATTTTTTAATGTCCGACTTTGTCATTTGTCATTTTTGCCATTTAATGCATAGTGGAAGCATTATGACGAAAAATGATGAAAGGAAAAAGTATTTTAAAATATAAAATACAAATACTGCCTAGAAAGTTTTAAAATACAAATACAAAATACTCCTTTAAGCAAGTGTCCAAATAAAAAGTAACTAATACGTATTCGTATTTTGTGCTGTCACTCGCGTTGATGCAGCCGATGCTACTAAATGCAAAATTGGAAACTTGTATGTGAAGACACGTTTAAATGCCGCACTGCTCATACTTCGCAAATAAGCGTTCATATTTAGAGCGCTGGTACATAAAATGAACAACAACAAGAAAACATGTACGTACATACTGCACAGGAAGCGAGGTCAATAATATTTAGCACAGGACCCTCTATGCAACCAGCTTCTAGTTGCCTACTAGAGTCAATATGAAAGCTAACAAGCAAAATTACATGAGCGGGGGGCTGGCAAAATATGCACACAAAAAATGATTTTAAGCGCTTTAAAATGCTCGATAAACAACAAAGAAAACAGTTTCTTAAATATGGTTATTCAATGAAGTTTTATTTCAAGCTTTCAATATTTTTATTCAATAATATCGGAATTACTCTTTCAAATTTTTACAATTTCTAAACTTTTTTCAACATCAAACCTTTTTTTTAATGAACGTCAAGTCTACAAGTTCACGCAGTTAGCTGGATTGGCATATATCATTTGCAGCTTCATCGTTATCAAAATCGACATTTACTCCTGAAAGTCGAATTTTAGTGATCGACTTTTAGTTTATGGAGGTCGACTGAAGTCAACTTTTCACCTTCGACTCTCGACTTTTTTTGATTTATTTGCATATAAAAACTGATCTTCTAACAAGGGCGCGGAGTGCTGTTTGGTCGTATTTAAAAAAATTTGCCAATAAAACTGAAGTGAAATTTTAAAAGTGTGGTAGAGAAATGAGTTTTAATGACAGTACAACAACATTGTCAAATCATTTAAGAGCAGCGCATAAAATTACTATACGAAAACAAATTCCTCAAATTTGTTAATCGTTTGTCTCCACAGTCTTCAGTTAATAATGAGGTAAGATAAACATAGGTATTTATTTTAAAAATTACATGCAAGAAAGTTTTTCTGCATGAGTTTATGTAAGTTTCTACAGACAGTCTTTGGTTTTGGAATTTGACCAATCCGTAAGGTACAACATTTTAAACACCGCTAAAAACGTTGCTGGTAGGATTCCAGTTAATATGCGACATTAGTCGTGTGGATAGTCCCAATCCACTAGCTGCCTGGGCTACTCCCATATTTATCCATGCTTATAAAGTGGCACTATATTTCTACCAATACCCGCCAATTCTGCTCCATCGGAAGGCCACATTTTTCAAAAAGTTGTCCGTAATTACCAAGTATCGATTCAAAAAATTTTTAGAATATTTTTGTTTGTGAAAATTTAAAAATTTTTAAATTATTTTTCAAAAATATAATTTTTGAAAACCCTCACCACCTACATTTTCATGCTATATAACTGGAACAATTTTCAAAATTTTTAAAAATCCTTTAGTGTCTGTTTTTTTTACCTAGCATTGAATTTCACTAAATTACAGATTATTCTAAAGACCACTAGTAAATCATGATATTTTTGGCGTATTCTGACTCTTATATTTATAGCTAATATGTGAGTTAAATGCAGAGTATAGTTAATACATTTTCTTTTTATTAAAAAAGTCGAACAAAGTCGACTTTTCTTCGTGGATCGGTCGACTTTTAAAGTCGGCTGTACAGAGTCGATCGAAAAGTCGAAAGTCGACTTTCTAGTGAAGTCGAACAACCCTAATCATCCTCCAGTTGTTATTTACGATCAAATGATTGAGGTCTCATTGGGAGCCCTCAAACATATATTTACATATGAATCTACGTGCATTTCTGCTCATAAATGAAAATATATGCACATATGTATATACATATGTATGTTTCTGAAATATATGCATAGATCTACACAATTGCCAGACATATGTAAAATGAGCCTTTTCAATCTTTTGCTTAGGTTTGTCAGCCCTGCACATGGGGATGAAAAGTGGAAAAACACAAACCGTATAGAGATACACACTGAGCAATGCTATCAATTTCGTTTCTCGCAAAAGTTGCTAAAAGTTTTTTAAGTCAAACCACAAGAGCGACCCCGCAGACACTCGCTTGAAATTTTTTCAAAACCGAAGTTTTCAGCAACAGTCGATTTGTTTCCCCATCTCTTATAACAGAGTTGCATCAAGTGGCACAACAATGGACCCCAAATGCAAAGGCGTTGCGGTTTTCGTGTACGCAAACAACAAAAGGCACTACAAATCTAACGAAATAAGAGATGCAGAGATGCAGAAATTTTCGCAAAATGTTTTTGGTTTACAAAAAAAAAGGAAATAGCAAAACCTTAGTTACGTGCAAAATGATTTAAAAACTATTTACAAGTGGCGGCAGGAGGAAATGAGAAACGTAAGTAGCGTACAGAAAACGACAACCTGCAAACGGCAGAGAGCTGTTGTTTGGAAGAATAGTGCCGTTTATTACTGATAATTACGACGAAGCGCCACCAACTGCCAACATCGCTGAGACACACTTCTAACTATTGTGGCCATTGTAAGCATCTCGAAAAAGCCCGAATGACGGTCGAAACGTACAAACGTGCTAGAGGACAGACGAGCCCCAAATGCGAAAAGTTTGCAAATTTGCAAAATTTTGATAATTTAAAGTTACTGATGGCAATATATGTACATATTCGCGCACTCTCACCTCAGCCAAAGTGCACTTATATAATAGTGTTAGTATTGCCACCATCGCAGGTACATAAAGTAGTACTTTTGCCACATTTCAAAGGACAAAGTTATCATTTATCAGCTGATGCAGAATGCACACATTTTTAATATGGTAATACGCACATTTTTGCAACTAGAAATCATACAAGAAATCATCTTTGCTGTTTTGTTTCACTAATTAATAGTATGCCCATAAGATATATGACTTTTTTTAATTAAACATACCTATTAGGAGAGGATGAGGAATGATAATAATAATATTTTAAATGCTTACTTTAGTTCCGAAATAAGAATAATAGCCAACAATTCAAAATTCGAAAAATAAAAACTGTTGCTACTTTTAAGTGGCTCATGTCTTTAATCCTTGTTGAATCCATGCCTAATCTTTTGTACTTACTTTAGCAATCCTTACTGCTTACTTTAGTAAGGGATGGAAATGGATTAGACAAGGATTAGAGACAAGCGCCACTTAACTGTAGTAACAGTATTTGTTTTTTTGAACTTTGAATTGTGTCGCTATTGCACAGGACCATCAGTATGAGGAGCTAATTTAAAAAAATTAGAATTTGTATATTTTCAGGCTATATGAATTTCCATATGTGACTCTGAATATAAATTAAGTTAAGTTAACAATCGTTTAACTAAGCACTGTTAATCTGGCTCTAAGTGGGTCTTCTTTTATCAGTAAATTTTTACAAAATTTGAATTTTTTATTGGAACTCGCTATGTTAATACCAAAACACTGCCCAGCCTCCTTAACATGAATGTCTAAACGAAGAAGGTTTTAAGATAACCGGAGTTTTACAAATTTTCAAAAACCGGTGCAAAGTCCGAACGCTGATTTAGAGCCATTCGTAATCTACCTTGTGATGTTACGAACGTTATCATTTTTATTTCAGTCCACTAACACGAGAGGAAAAATACCTTGGAATGATTCTGGACTCCAAGTTGAATTGGAAAAAGAATTTAGAGGAGACAGCCAAGAAATCTCTAGCAACATACTACACGTGCAAAGGGGCCTTTGGAAAGCAATGGGGACTATCACCGTACAGTCATCAGACCAATTGCAACCCACGGCTCCTTGTTACGGTGGAAGGGCCTATACAAAGGGAGTAACAATAAATTAATAGGAAAAGTGCAAAGACTCAGCACTTGGCATATCAGGGGCACTAAGTAGGGCACCTCAAGGGCTTAACATGATATTTCATTTACAACCGCTGCGTATTTGTTTTCATCAATGGTAGCGCTCTGAGGCTCAGAGAAGCCAAAGCGTGGAAGGCAGCCAACTTCGGGCATGCAGCAATACTGAATGAAATAAAAAGGGCCAGATAAATAAAATTAAAACTGACATAGAAGTAATGATTCGCCTTGCCTAAAACTGTGTTTGGCCTCGAAAAGTTCTTCCAGTTTGAACAGAGCTTAACGTATTAGAGAAGGTAAATCCAAAGATCAGGCATGGAAGATTCTTGTATTTTCGTTCTATTAAGCAGATTTGACGTGATGTGAAATGTGTAACAAAATGTACATACTAATTTTTTAGGTACGTTCGTCAGCTTTAAAGCACAATTTTTTCATAAACTTAAGTCCAACTTGAAGATTTGATGTCCCATCCCTGGTATGCTCATCAGTAAACTTAGCTTCGGGCCTTCATACATACATACACATATACATAGTATATCAATCTATAACCTTAATGCGCACTCTCATTCACACAAGCAACATGCCAACATATTTACATATCCTACATATGTATCTATTTAAGTTCGATATCGAAAAATGTGAAACGTTATCACCTACCTTTCTTCGTCCACAACAAAGCATTCTTCGCGCACGCGAATTTCCAGTAGCTGCTTTCAATCGTGTAAACTTCTTCTTCCACTGCATCTAGTGGTAGTGCGGGCGTGGTGACACAACGTATCTATGGCACGTTTCGACTCTTCCACTCCAATATGGCATAACGATGAGCGAGAATACCTTAATTGTCGCAGCTAATGTGAGCCACAATAAAATTTCGTGTCCAAGTCGAATTTCAAATTCCAAAGCATAAAAGCGAAGGGCAGAAGCGGCAAATCAGGAAATAACGGTTTTATTGAATTTCATGTCCGTTGCAAATGAGTTGATTACTTGAGTTATCTTTACTAGTTCACGATTGCGTCACATGTATTTTAATATGCTTGTCTAGAATTGTACTGGATCTGTGAAGAAAAATAAGATAAAGAACATTTTTTGTTACCATTTTTTGCCATTAGATGCTAGTCCTTATTATAAAGATTATCTAAAAGTTATTTAACGATCTGGAATTATTTCAATTCTCTGTTTCTGATATCTACTTGCTAATTAGTACACATGTATGCACATTAGAGTGGTCCAAAAATGCATGTGAAAAAGTAAAGTCGGAATTTGTATGCTCTCACCCCCTAGGATTGTTCTATACCGAAAAAAAATATACCGTTTTTATTTTTTTTATGAAATCAAAAACTATTTAGAGATCGCTCTAGGCGCTCAAAGTTTGCCATGTATTTTATATGGGAAAAAAATTTTTTTCGTATAAATGGTATAGAATTCTTCAAAATCAATATTTTCGATCAGAACACTCTGTTTTTCTTCAAAAGGTTCACAATACCCAATACCAATACCCAATTATTTATTTAACCATTTTTTCATAGTAACTATAGGTCCGCCAAAACCCTCAGAAAATCCAATAGAGAGATAATTAAAAAATCTTTAGTATTAAAACCTGGTTAAATAAACATTGGGTATTGTTATGAGAAAACTAAGACTATAGGCCTTCAACTATATATCTTGTTTTCAGACCATATTCGATCTTTGAAATCGAATCAAAAGTAGTCATTCAAAAACCCATAAACCTACAAAATCCCATTTTCTGACATAAATCGACAGGTCGCGACTTCTAAACGACCTTCAAAAAATCTACAAAAATAGGCAATTATATTTCTTATAGAAAGGAACAAAATTAGGAGGTAGGGCACCCAGCGAAACGCCGGGACACGTATAACTTGTTTTTGACCGATATAACATTTCCCGTTGGTTTCATCCCATCCCGATTTTGACTGTCGCATAGTGTAATTTATCGTCCATATAACAGAGATATGCCACAGCAAAGCGTGGCAGGGTACAGCTAGTTATTTATAAAATAGCTAAGGAATTTTATCGGTTTTAGCTGTCCAAATAAAGGAGTTTTACAGTAAAACCCCATATCTGAACAATCAGTTGTATGGAGGCAATACAGATGTTATAGTGACCTGATCTTTGTTAATTTTAATGTAAGTTTTCTGTTTATATTGAGTGAAAATAGTGTAAAATATAATGTTTCTAGCTGCATAAATGGCGAAGTATTATAACAAAAAATTTCATTTCTGAACAATCAGTTGTATGGAGGCTATAGGTTATAGCGACCAAATCTTCACCATTTTCATTATAAGTATTCTTTAATAGTGAGTGAAAATAATTCGAAATTTCATGTTCCCAGCTGCATAATTTAACGAAAATTCTGATATCTGAACAATCAGATGTATGGGATTAATAATGTGTGAAAACGGTGGGTAATTTCATGTTCCTAGCTGCATAAATGGAGGAGTTATGATAAAAGACCTCATATCTTAACAATCAGTTGTATGGGGCTACAGGTTATAGTGACCCGACCTTTGCTACTTTCCACTGTAAATTTCCTGTTGATAATTATTAAAAACAGTGCGAAATTTTATGTTCCTAGCTATATAAATGGAGGAGTTATAACGAAAAATTTTATATTCGAACAATCAGTTATATGG